AAAAAAAAAAACCAAGACCAAAAAAAACCAAACCCACATTTATTCCATGGGAAGTGATCAGATGTGACATAATTTTAAACTTGACATGGTAGCATGTCAGTCAACTTGACATAGTGAGATGCTAATGAACGGAGGTTCATTATGTGCTGTGCCATCAGGTGTGGCTCCTTGGAGGCCTAACTCGGCTCTTCTCCAGTGTCTTCTCTTGGAATGGTGCCTGATTTTATTGCCAGTTTTCATTGACTCCACTGAGAAATGGCATGGATATGCTTGTGTTTCTTGGACCGCTTGCCCAGGAACCTCTTGATCTTGAAAGTGTTATGAGAAGACTTAGTGAAGACAAAACAGGGCCACACGAAAAACATCCATAATCCACCTTGATGTTACGATGGCCAAAATTTAGTTGTTTTCAAATTAGAAGTTTTTGTTAAAGCTGTGGGTTGAATTTGGTCAGTCTTAAATTGAACAGTAACTGTGGGCCCAGGTTTAAAATCAGGGAGAGTGTGCCTCACAGTTGTATCTTCCTCCATACCTGTTCAATCTGTACGCTCTCGCCTCGGGCAGATCCTGACCTTTCGATCTTGTGTGGTTGACTGTTGTAAGGAGTGAAGGATCTTGCTGGTGATATAGTTCAGGATGTCTGTTATTTGGCCGAAAGTTGAGACACAAGGGTGAGGTTAGTTCCAGGGCCAAAAGATATCTTAGTAAACATTTCTTAGTAAATGTTATTTTTACATAAAGTCCAACATCTTGAACAAATCACTGGAGATGTTGGACTTTATGAAGAAGAGTGTGACATCAGAGGAAGACTCGTAAAAAACCTGTCTTATGTGGATGACACAACCCTGCTCGCTGAAAGTGAAGAGGACCTAGGCATCTTCTGCAGTGATGTCAGTTTGAAGACTAAGGTGCACCTAATCCAAACCATGGTCTATTCATCTGCTTTCTATGCATCTTAAAATTGGACAGTGAATAAATATGACAGAAGAATTAATGCCTTTGGTTGTGGTGTTAGAGAAGAGGCCTGAATATTCCATACACTGAGCAAACACGTCGGTCGTGGAGAAAGTGCAATCAGAATATCCTTAGAGGGAAGTGTGGAGAAGCTTCATCTCACATCCTGTAGGCATATTTTCACAGGGGTTCAGGTCTTGAAAAAAGACATCATACTTGGAAAAGTGGAGGGGCAGAGAAAGAGGAAGACCCTCGGCAAGAGAGAATGACTATAACTGGGCTCCAGCGTATCGGAGATTGTACGAGGAGGTGCAGGATAGGACAGGGTTCAGATCTCTTGTTCACAGGATCTCCACGAGTCTGTCAACTTGGCAGTGCCAGCAACATCTAATAGAAGCTAAAGTGCCAGTCCTGCTGAAGGAGCTGTGAAAGGCTGTGGTTCTGGTGTCGACATCCCAGATAGCTCATTTTCAAGTCTCTGTCTGCTCATCTGGGAGGGGGTCCAAGACAGATTGTCTCTGTGAGAGAGAGCGTAATGCTTAGGAACACGCATTTTAGGTTCACGTCGCCAACGTTTAATCCCAGCTCTGTCACTTACTGTGACTCAGAATCAGCACCAGCCGTTAATGCGCTGTTTTCTTGTAATAACTCGCTTGTCTTACAACACCTCTATGAAATAATTTCTTTTTTTAAAATTTTATTTTTATTATTTTGTGTGTATGTGTACCATCAAATCAGATTTGACTGGTACAGGAGGAGATTGTTCCTCCTTCTCCAGCAGAGCATCTGGTGGATTTGAACTGGAAATAATTTCTTATTCACATCTGACAGGTGAAATGCTGAGGGACTTGCCCTGGCTCTCTGGGTGATAAATGGCAGAGCTGGGATACAAACCTAGACACCCTGTTCTTACTTGTCCATGTTAATTTTTTTTATTCTGTTTTGGCTATTTCAGCATTGTTTTATTTGTATGGGACATACAGAATAGGTGTTGGGGTTGTTATTGGTTTGATATTTTTATTTACTTCTCATCTATTACATGTGAATAGTATGAGTTTCAAGGAATGAGAATAATGACAACAGTACAAAGAAAATGTTTAGAATATGACCTTTCCCATGATAATGGACCTTGGTTGCTGTTGTTGTTGTTGTTGGTTGCCTTCAAGTTGAGCATGACTCTAGCGACCCTATGAACAAAAGGCCTAAAACCTTTCTATAACTATCCACATTTATCAAAGTTCGTAGAATTTCCAAAGCCATGTTGTTTAGGAAGTGGATGCAACTCCTACTTCTAAACTTGTTTTAAACTGGGAGCTCCACCAAACACTGTCCACCATGGGTAACTGTTATGGCATTTGACACCCCAGTGGCACAAGATTCAGCATCACAGAAACCCCAGTTTACCTCAGTACAGCATATTGACAGAGGAGTGCTGGGCCACTAGGAAGAAAGTTCCTCCAAAATAGAATAACAACCAATTTTAAAGACAAAGACCCTCCCCAAGGTCTTGTTGACTCTAAAACAGGAGGCGTAAAAAACATCCAATCTAGTACGTTGTTGTTATGTGCTTTTAGAGTTGCCTGCGATGTATAGCAACCCTGTGTACAACAGCTCTGAACCCTTCCCTGTCCTGAGCCTGTCTCACTAATTCCAACACACCAATCCCTGATTGCCCCAGATACTGTATCTGGGGTCGGCCTCTCCTGTGCTGTCTGTCTGTCCACCCTTCTGAGCTTGATGTCCTTCTCCAAGGACTGGTCTCTCCTAGTCACGTGCCCAAAGTGAGGCAATGCTTCAAAACCCTAGCCTTCAAGGAGAGGTTGGTTTCACCCTCTGCAAGACAGACTGATTTGTTCTCTTGGAAGTCCATGGTATGTTTAAGACTCTTCTCCAGCTTCGCAACTCAAAGGCGTCTATTCTTCTGTCATCCTTAGTCATTGTCCATCTCTCTGAAGTATAACAAATAATTGAGAAGACTGTGGCCTGGATTAGGCACACCTTTGTATCTAGACTGACATTGTTGCTCTTCAGCACTCTGGAGAGGTCGCTGACAGCAAATTTTTCCAATGCAATTCCTCTTTTAATTTACTGACTGGGTTGGTATAGCCCTTAGTAAATGTTATTTTAATTTTTTTTTAATAGCAGTTCCTTGCAACTTTAAAATCCTGTGATTTTCTGAATACCCAGGACCTTGGAAGTCATTTTGGAACTACAGTTCATGGGAATGGTGGAGCAGTGAACAGCCCCACACTTACTTGTCCTAGAGTGCCCATCTTCAGCATGACCGTGAGTGAGTCTGTGTAATTGTTCTTGTTCTGTTTCTCTCTTTGGCAGATTGTCGATCCATTTCAGATACTTGTAGCGGCAAACAAGGCAGTTCACCTCTACAAACTGGGGAAAATGAAGACAAGAACTTTATCTACTGAAATTATTTTCAACCTCTCCCCAAATAACAATGTAATACGGTATTTACTTTCTTTTTCGTGTTGTCCAAACCACATGCGTTTTATTCGAGGCTGGGCTGAAGGCTAAATTCTTGAGATGAGTGGGGAGTGAGTTCATCCTATCACCATGCTAGGTGAGGAAGATCCCAAAGTGGTTTTGCTTAAGAAGCTGTGTGGCAGAAGTGTGACTGTTAAAATGTTGTTGTTGTTGTTGTGAGCTGTCTACTCAGAACTGACCCATAGATGACCTTCCAACAGATTTTCTGAGACTAAATTGCACAGGAGGTGATTGTCCATCTTTCTCTTAAGGATTAGTTGGTGGATTTGAACCATGTGCTTTTGGGTTGGCAGTGCAGTTCTTACCCACCAGGCCAGCAGAGCTCCCTGATCAAACCATGGTTATGCACATCTCTCACTCTGGGTAATCCCCGTGGGAGTAGAGTTCATATCTTCTTCATACATAGGAAGTCTCCGTGGATGGCCCCTAACACGTGCTCATTAACAAAACTAGTGCATACACAACATTTATGGTTGGAGAAACTGATTGTAATTACTTCTGAGTAAGGCTCCTTGAATGGTGAAGACATTCTACTCAGGGCCTCTGAAAGCATGACTGGAACTTTACTGACAAGGTTTTAACATTCCTGCTACTATTAATGTGACGATAATAACAACAACAGCTCGGTACTAAAGTCAAGGGACAGTCAGGAAATCTATGACATGATTTTAAATACAGATTTTAAAAGTTTCTAAAGTGCACTAATTTGGTAATAGAATTCTTAAGGAATTGGGATAAAATTCACCAGGTAATAAAAATCCAAGAAAGTATTCAGCAGGCATTTGTTGAGTGTGTCTTTTCCCCAGGCACAGCTCACAGCTGTGTTCTTAAGGAGGTTAGACTGCACCACGGTAACTGATGTAGTGGGCATTGCTTCCAAGGTGTGGAACAGTACTGGGCAAACATTCCCTCTAGGGAGGAGTGGACAGAGGGGAGTGATGTTTGAACTGCCCCTGGGAGGGTGAGACAGGTGGAGGAAAAGGTGTGAGCACAGGCAGAGAAGTATGATGTGATGGGTGCCCAGCTGTCAAGTCCAGCTAGGGAGAAGGAGTGTACAGAGATGGAGGTCCCTTTGGCCAGAAAGTCAAGTGACATATGTTAGAAATGGGTGTTGAAGGGAAAAGCAGTGAGAACAAGGCCTGTTGGCTTTGAAAACTAGGAGGGACTTGACTGAAGGGAGGTTACAGGACAGGAGAGAAGAGGCCAGTGGGTGAGAAAGAAAGGTATTACAGGAGTTTTTTCCTTAGATTTCAGAAGCTTTGAAGAAATTTGGAATTTCAGCAAATGATACTTCAGTTCTCATTGTTTACATTGAAGAGAAAGAAAAACAAATAAATCAAGAACACTTAATATCTCAAGTAGAAGGTCAGCAAATTTCCCTGGAAAATCTTCCAGAAATAACAAATATTGCAGAAGTCAAAAAGGTATGTAAAGCCCTGCTTTGGGGAAGAGTGTAGTGGATGAGGGTTTGTGCCAAGGCTTTTTCCTTATTGATCACCAAGGCTTCTATTTGATTTGTTATTTAACTTCTATAAAAGGTAATGTTAACAAATTACCTGAAAAATAATTGTGAGTGCAAAGACCAGGAAGATGTAAGTTTATAGAAATTTAACTAGGAAACTAGTTCATAAAAAAGCATTCTTGAGGAGCTCTGGTAGCCTACTGGCAAGAAGCTGTGCTGAATCCTGAAGGCACTCGGTTCAAATCCACCAGATGCTCCACTGGAGAAGGAGGGGTAATCTCCTCCTATATCAGTTGGATCCAACTCAACAGTACACAACAAGAAAGAAAAAAATGAAGCAGCATTCTTGAAGAAGGGTTAGAGGAGTTTGCATGAAACTTACATACTCCATTTAAAATGTGAAATGTATAAGTTGAATGTGAAATCAATGTCTAGATGTGTTTTTACCATTGATAGAAATTTTGGTTCTGTGTTTGGGGAGTTTTTTTTTTGTGTTTTTGGATTTTTGTTTTAAAATAAAATTTTTTGTAACTACCGTTTTAAAGAGAATGCTTTTGCCCCCATAGTGTTGAACTGGCATCTAATTTACATGATTAATCACATCATGACTTCATAACATTAATGCAGTAGTTATTTCCTAAATAATTTTGCACATATTTGTATGTTGTATAGTATTAATTATATCAGCATCTCATAATTATTTTTTCTTTCACAGATATATAAACTGTCTTCACAAGAAGAAAGAATTGGGACCTTATTAGATGGTATCATTTGTCGAATGGCAACAAAAGATGTTTTATGAAGAGTCCAAAATGCCAACACTTATTCATTTTTAAAAAACATTGCTTTTATTTTCTTGGTTATGAAATTTACTGTATACATAGGTATAGATTATAAGTACATTGTTGAAAAAAATATAAAGCAGAGACCACTATCCAGGGGGGAAATGTGTGGAATCTTAGCCCTTCTAATATGTTAAAGTAGAAACTACTTTTATTGCTGTTTGCCCTTGTTCTCTTCCTTTCTTCCAAATCTTCCATTTCTGTTCAAATGTGTGTTATTTTCATATAATTGGAATGATAACTGCAAGCCTTTCTTGAAAGCCTACTCTAGGCCGGGTTCTGGTTGTGGTGACTTCTCTTCAGTTCAGGTCCTTTTCCTTACATCAGTTGTCTCCCTTCTATGGTTATGCTGTTTGCTGGTTCTGGGTGTTTAACTTGAACAGATTTATTTCATTCTTTCGGCATGGTGTGGTCGATGCTGTACCCGTTTTCTATGTGAAGTAGCAGTGATTTATGTACCTTGCCATGACACCCATGTGGAATCACATTTTGTAAATGGTCTGAGGTTTTCTTTTTTCTCATATTCTGTTCTTCTGTTGGGGTCCGTCAGAGGAGACTATGTCCAAGGTTTGCAAATACCTGGAAAGGGCCAGATGATAGACGTGTGTGCCTCTGTGCAGCCATAAGCTTGGTGAAGCTACTCAGCTTTGCACAAGCAGCCAGAGATGGCATATTAGTGATGAGCGTGACTGAGTTCCAGTAAAACCATTTCCAGAAACAAGCAGCAGACTGGATTTCATCTGCATGCCGTCGTTGGTGGCCTCTGATCAGGTTAACCTGCAATTACAAACAGCCTGTCTTGATTACCTACTGCTGCTGTAATAGCTCCTGTGAATGCAGGACTTGAAGGAACAGATATATTCAGTCCTAGTTTAAGAGGCAGGGGGCTCTGGTGGCACAGAGACTAAGGAGTCTGCTGCCAGTCCAAAGGCAACAGGTGGTTCAAATCTGTCAGCCACTCCAGGGGTGAAAGGTGGGCAGTCTCCTCCCTTGTGATTTACAGCCTCTGAAAACCTGCTGTAAGTTGACTTCTACACAATCTGAGTTGTTGAGTTTAGGCTGAGAGACTGAAAATCAAGCATACTAGCTAAAACAAGCCTCTTTTCAGTTTTGCAGGAAACTTCTTCCCTTCAGCGATGGTAGGCCCTGCAGTCCCTGGAGATCTCCCTGTGTCTTAGCCTTCAGGGAAGCTTGATCCCCAGTGCAGGGTCCCAGGTCCGAAGGCATGCTGCTTACCTGGCAGTATTTTCTTATTTGAAGTTCACTCCCTGCTTTTATATCTTGAAAGGTAAAAAGATGTCACAGGCTCCACCCCAGGGAAGCTCCCTTTACGTTGGACAGGGGCTGTGATGGAATTTAGAGTAATATAGCCCATCTTTGAAGGAAGAAGACTGTGACATCACAATTGGAGGAAGACTCAGCAACCTGCTATATACACATGATAAACAGCTTGTTTGCAGGAAGTGCAGAGGCCTCACTTAGAATGCTTGATGCAGAAGATCAAAGACTACAGCCTTCAATATGGATTACATCTGAACATCCAGAAAGCACAAATCCTCACTACGGGACCAGTGGCGACAACATGATGGATGGAAAGAAGATTAAAGTTGTCAGCTGTTTGCTTTTACTTGGAGGCACAGTCAACACCCATGGTAACAGCAGTCAAGAAATTAAAAGATGATGTTGCGTTGGGCAGGTCTGCTGACAAGGTCCTCTCCAGAGTAGTAGAGAGCAAGGGTGTCAGTTCAAAGACTAAGATGGCCTGATCCAAAGCAGGGGTTTTTAAATTGCTTCTTAAGCATTTCATAGTTTGACAGTGGGTAAAGATGACAGAATAAGAATCTTGAGTTACAGCATTAGAGAAGACTGACTGTCCTGCAGACTTCCCAGTGAACAAACATTCTGTCTTGAATGTGCAGCCAGGATGGTGAAACTTGATCTTACAAACTTTAGGTATGTTGTCAGGATCGGTCAGTCTCAAAAAAGGGCATCGTGCTGGGAGAGGTGGAGGGTCAGAGAAGGCCCTCAAACGGTGTGTTGACACAATGTCACAGTGGGCTGGAGCAGGTCAGAGATGGTAAGGATGGCACAGATAAGGCAGGATTCAGGTCTGGGTATATAGTTGCTGTGAGTTTTAAAAGATGAGTAGAAGAATTAAAAGGACAGCTCGAGAAGACAAACTATTGAATTGTGCATAGATACATAGATAAAATACAAAGGGCAGAACCTCCTTGGCATTTCTCAAGGTGAAAGAACTGAATCACGCTATGAGTTGCAATACTGAATAATACTATGAGAAAAATCTTGAATATCTAGGAAGCATCAAAATAAGATGGAACACAATTGCACAACGCTGAAATATTTCAGGAAGTAACATGATAAAGGACCAATGGTAATGAACTTTAAATGGCACTGAGAGCGTTGGCAAAAAAAAAAAGGCCAGGAATCAGTGTAATTCCAATTGACATTTTTCAGCTAACAAATGTGACCCTGGATGTGCTCCGTCATCTATGCCAAGAAATTTGTAAGATAGCTACCTGGCCAACTGACTGAAAGAGACCCATACTTGTTGCATTCTAGAGGTGATCCACCACAATGTGGAAATTTATCAGTATCGTTAATAACTCATGCAAGTGAAATATTGCTGAAGATCATCCAAAAATAGCTAGAACTATATGTTAACACAGAACTGCGATTTGGAAGAGCCTCTGGTACCACAGATAATATTGCTGATAACAGATGGATCTTGGCCTAAAGCAGAGAATACCAGAAGAATGTCTCTGTGTGAGCTCAGTGGCCTTTGACTCTGTTGTTATGTGCCATCAAATTGCTTACAACTCATAGAGACCCTGTGTGCAACAGCCCTAAACCCCGCTCTATCCTGTGCCAACCTCATTGTGTCTGACACACTCCCATTACTGTAGTCACTGAATCGATCCATCTCATTGAGGGTCTTCTTCTCTGCACTGTCCCTCCACCCTCCCAAGTATGATGTCCCTCTCCAAGGACTGGTCCCCCCTTGCAGCATACCCAAAGTATGTCAGACGAAGCTTCAGAATCTTTGCCTCCAAGAAGCAGCCCAGTCTCACCCTCTCCAGAACAAACCTGTTTGTTCTCCTAGCAGTCCATGGTATGTTCAACACTCTTCTCCAGCACCACAGCTCAAAGACATCAGTTGTCTTTCTATCATCCCTAGTCACTGTCCAGCTCTCTGATGCATAGCACGCAATTGCGAAGACTATGGCCCAGATTGGGCACACCTTAGTGTCCAGCCTGATGTCGTTGCTCCTTAGTACTCTGGAGAGAGGTCCCTGACAGCTGATTTTGCCAATGCAGTTTGTCTCTTGATTTCCTGGATGCTGGTACCAAGAGTGTTGACTGTAGAACCAAGCAAACTAAAACTGTTAACAATCTCAATCTCTTCACCATCCATACTGATGCTGCCAATTGCCCCAGTGGTAAGGATCTTTGTTTTTTTGATTTTGGGCTTCAATCCATATTGAAGGCTTCAATCCTTGACCTTCTGCAGCAAGCGCTTCAGGTCCTCCTAAGTTTCAGCAAGCAAACCTGATGCCACATTCCTCCTTGGATAGCCCAGCATCCAGGATGGTCTTTTCTGCATACAGATTGAAAAAGGTATGAAGACAGAATACATCCCTGGCAGACCCCCTTCTGATTTTGAACCATGCAATGTCTCCTTGCTCTGTTCTAACAACTGCCTCTTGGTCCAAGTATAGGTTTCACATAAGCACAATCAAATGTTCTGGATTCCCATTCTTCTCAGAGTCAGCCACAGTTTGTATGATCCATACATTCAAAAGCCTTTGTGTAGTTAGTGAAACACAGACATTCCTCTGGTACTCTGTGCTTTCTGCCAAGATCCATCTAACATTAGCTATAATAATTCTAGTACCATGGCCTCTTCTAAACCCAGCCTATACATCTGGCAGTTATCTGTTGATGCATTGCTTCAGACTTTTTTTGGATCATTTTAAGCAGAATCTTGCTTGCATGCGATATTAATGATACTGTTGGATAATTTCCACACTCTGTCGAGTCTCCCTTCTTTGGAGTGGGAACAGATATCGATCTCTTCCAGTCTGTTGTCCAAGTGGCTGTCCTCCAGATTTCTTGACACAGCACATCCAGGACAGCATCTCTTTGTTGAAATATGTCAATTCGTATGTCATCAGCTCCTGGAGGCTTGTTTTTTGCCAATTCTTTTAGAGCAACTTGAACTTCCCCCTTCATTACCACAGCCTCTTGCACATGTTATTTCATGAAATTCTTCTGTGTCAGCCAGGGACACCATTCAATCCATGATAGACCCTGTGGTTTACAGGGCTCAGCACAAGAAGGTACGTCTTTTCAGTCTGTACATCCAACGTGTGAGTCAGTAAGATGACGGTGTAGTGAGCTGACGGCTTCTAGAGCCTCTCACAGCACAGCTAGATCTCCCACCGTCGCCCTTGAGGGCCCTTGAAATGACAGAAGGCAGTTGTCATTGGCCAGAGCAGGTCACATGGCCCTGTGAGGTGCCACTTAGAGGACTAAGGAACATATACCGTAAGGCAAGATATTGTCCGTCACCCAAAGGAAGGGAGTTTGAATCCACCTACTGTTCAATAGAAGAAAGGTGAGCAGTCTCCTCCCATGGTTTACAGCCTCTGCAAACCCACCAGTCAGCTGTGTCTGGATTCCTCCTCGAAGGCATGCAAAGGCTTTACAGTGAATAAGAAAAATGGAAGAGTGCAGCCTTTGAATGACGAGGTTGAAGCATATTGAATATACCAGGACTCTGAGAGAATCAGTCTGTCCTGTCAGAAGTGCAACCAGGATGATCTTCAGTCACAGCATCTACTTTGCCTCATATTTTGTGTGCACGAGGGGGAAACACAGACCAGGAGAAAGAGATCATGCAGCAACTGCAGCAGGGCGTCAGCTGGAGCAGTGATTGTGAGGGTGAGGCGGGCCTGGTGCGGTGGTCATTGCCCACTGGGTCACTAG